TTATACTTCATGATTTCTTGTTCTTCTTTCTTTTTCCTCTCTTCCTGCGTTTGCCCTTTCGCTTACGTATGTTACTTACAAAACTTGCGAGTGTATATTTATTACCTAACAATGAAAATCCCTCTTGGTGATAGTATATAGTAGGCATGTACTAGTCGCTCTCGAAACCCAACAACGCGCACGCTATATCTTCTTTTTTTTTTTTCTCTTCTTTTCTTTTTTAAATCGCGAAAACTAAACTGTGTGTTGGTGTGTGTATGTGTGTGTGTGTGTGCGTGTGTATATATATATATGTATCTCGAATGACGATCGAAAGGATCCGCTGGTTTTTCGACCCGGAAAGAAAAAAAGGAAGAACTAAACGCGCAAATGTTTCTTTAGCGATGGCGAAGAAAAGGCAAAAGAAGATGCAACGTAAAAGAGAGAGAGATATACGTGTTTGAATGCAATGTGTGTGTTTTTCGCAGAAACTTCGTTTGATTAACGGGCCTTCTTGCACCATTTGATAACAAGTATTGGATTTTCCTCTAGTTGTATGCTATAGAATAATCCAACAAAGTCAAAATTCAATTGGAAAAATTTTCTTCCGAGTCATTGTCATACATGCAAGCAGAGAACTATTCATTGTCCGAGGGTTGATACGAAATTTTTACAAATTACAAATCATCGAGAAAAATTTCTACAACTGGTCAGTGTATTAATATTATTGTCCAAGAAAGGCCCGAGAGTGTCAGAAGTCAAATCGATCAGTGCCATTTTATGCTAACTTCTTCGAGAAGCAAAGGATGTTGTAAATAGTGGGAAATTCAAAGATAAATTTAACCCTCGATTGACACTTGTTCACCGCTCAATATTTAAAACATCTCATTTCAATTTACGTTCTACGGGTCGCTCGATAAATGCCATCGATAGTCTTCGTAATCTAAAGTCGAAAAATTGTATGAAAGGAACGAAAGTTACAATGCCAATTGAGAGGTAAATTTACGAAGCTGATCGACGTGGCTTCTGACACTTTAAAACTTCCGAGGCAAACGAAGCTCCACAGTGTGTCGATCGGTGTTTGACTCGCGTTCCGACCGCGTCGAATAGATCGTTCCTCCCCTCGAAAGGCACGAAGAAATCATGGGCTCGCTTCTCTCGAGTCTCTTAAACCTAAAAACATCGTGATACGACGTAGAAAAATCCGGGGGATGGGGAAAAGTATTGTTGCGAGGATCACCGAATCGGTGTTAATGGTGATTTGCTCCCAGTATTTCAGCCTTCTGCGTTTCAATACATATACGTATATACATATATATATATATATATATTTTTATGATTTTTTTTTTTCATTATATGTTTTTTTGGTTTTTCGAATTTTCGTAGCGTGATCCCGAGATTCGGGAAGGGGGGAACATTAAAAAAGTGTACGCGGTAGAAAAAGGTTTGTCTCTCACGAGCTCGAGTGTCTCTGATAATGCATGCCGGGACACGATTTGCGAGAAGGGAGCGAACGATCATCGTTTCGGCGGCTTGGTCTGAACGCCCCAGGTCTGAACCAATTTCTCTTTCTTTCTTCTTTTTCGTCGTTCACATTACTATTTATCTACGAAGGAACAAAAGTCTGGTTTACTCGATATTTGGCACAGATTAAACGGAATTTTCTGCCCGCGTGTGCTCTCTCGTGCGACGAGAACACTCCTCCTCAACAGGATGACGAGATATTTTTCCTCCTGCTGTTTCTCCTCTTTTTTTTTTTTTTTT